CCTCCCTTCCTTCCTTAAATTTATTTCCCTCCCTCCCTCTCACAGCCGGCGGGCGGGCGCGCGAGGGAGCACTCTCTGTGTGCTTCCTCTTCAGCTCCCTCGCGCACCGTACTGATGCCGGAGCCGGAAGATGACGTCATCTTCCGGCTCCGGCATCAGTACGGTGCGCGAGGGAGCTGAAGAGGAAGCACACAGAGAGTGCTCCCTCGCGCGCCGTCCCGCCCGCCGGGTGACTGCAGGGCCAGCCTCTGGGGGGGCCCTGAGGTGACCGCCTCCTGGGCCCCCCAGGTGAAGAGGCTGGCCCTGTGGGTACATACCGGGGTCGCAGGGCCCCCTGCGACCCGGTATGTACCCACTGAATGTGGGGCCCGGACGACCTGAGCAGTCCGGGCCCCCCAGGACCGCCGGGCCCATGACAACCGTTGCGGTTGTCATGCCCTGATGGCGGCCCTGCTACAGCGTGTGACCGGCCCCTGCTTACAAATACCCACCTGGTTGCCTCCTTAATGTGCAGGCCGGCTGCTCCATTGGGGAAAAAATTTTGAGGGCAGTGGGGCCCATGGGGCAGCTTTTTTGGGCCCTCAATACTTATGTCCATATGTCCACATAATGTGCCCACTATATGTTCTATGTATTAGTTAGTGTGAAAACACAGCCACGCTATACACCCTGTTCCAAATTATAATGCAAATGATATTTTTCTCATTTACCTAAATAATTGATGTAAATAACAGTCAGCATAATTCTCATGTTATCAACTATTAAGAGTACAATTCAAATTTTATTGAACAAACCTCCTAATGATAACAGTATATTTTTAAACATAAAAAACTTACAATGCACTGTTCCAAATTATTAAGCACAGTAAGTTTCAAAACACTTTATAGGTTGTAACGAACTGAAAATTGTCATTTGTTGTGTTTGCAGCATATTTACTGAAATCAAAAGCTATTTCGATCAAACTTATAACAACATTTTAACTTTTTAAACATTTTAACAGGTCACGTTACATTTTAACATAGGACCCCTTATTTGATAGCAGCTTCACAAGTCTTGCATCCATTGAACTTGTGAGTTTTTGGACAGTTTATGGACTGGCCTCCGCAGAGTAAAGATCTGAATATTATAGAGGCAGTATGGGATCACCAGGACACAGCAAGAAATAAAAGACACTAAATCTAAAGAAGTACTAAAGGAAACATAGAAACATAGAATGTGACGGCAGATAAGAACCATTCGGCCCATCTAGTCTGCCCAATTTTCTAAATACTTTCATTAGTCCTTGGCCTTATCTTATAGTTAGGATAGCCTTATGCCTATCCCACGCATGCTTAAACTCCTTTACTGTGTTAACCTCTACCACTTCAGCTGGAAGGCTATTCCATGCATCCACTACCCTCTCAGTAAAGTAATACTTCCTGATATTATTTTTAAACCTTTGTCCCTCTAATTTAAGACTATGTCCTCTTGTTGTGGTAGTTTTTCTTCTTTTAAATCTAGTCTCCTCCTTTACTGTGTTGATTCCCTTTATATATCGTCTTTCCTCCAAGCTATACATGTTAAGATCCTTTAACCTTTCCTGGTAAGTTTTATCCCGCAATCCATGAACCAGTTTAGTAGCCCTTCTCTGAAGCCTGGTATAATAAACCAAAAGATTACTTCAGAAAGTATCAGGACAGTCTCCCATAAGAATTAAAGATGTGCTTAGTGCCAATTGAGGTCACACTAAATACTGACTTTTTGCCTGAAAAAAAAAATTTTGTTCTGAAAATTTAGAATTTTTATATTTTTACTAAATTTTTCCTGTATTTTCAGTTTGTATCTTAATAAAGAGACAGAAAAATAAATATGGATGGCCATTAAAACCTTGCTAAAACAGGGGGCGTGGCTAACCGCCGAGCAAGATGGCCGCTCAGTAATTTGCTCTGGCACATGGGCTCCCTCTAACTTACTTCAAAGCATAGCTGAAACCACAAGCACATCCACAAGCATAATGGCCAACTCTAAGGCGAAGAAAGCTGCCACCAAAGCAAAAAAAATGAGCTTCTTCGGACAGAAAACACAGTCTGCAAATGAGGCCGCACGGGCGGCTATACAAGATGGCGCGGATGACTCCGACACCACAATGCAGCAAGCAACATCAGAAACACCCCAGCCTGCAGAATATCTCACAAGAGAATATTTTAAAAAATCCATGGAGGGTATGGCAATGAAGCTAATAAGCACCTGGCAAACAGCGGAACAGATCAAGAGGGAGGTGAGGGACCTCTCTGCTAGGACCACCTCAGTGGAGCAACAATATGAGGAACTGGCATCCACACAAGGGGACATGTCTAGGCAACTACAAGCCCTGCAACATCAAATGGAACAAATGGAGGCCCAAGTGGCAGACCAAGAAGACAGGGATCGATGCAACAATTTGAGGCTATGGGGAGTCCTGGAGACCGTCCTACCTGACGACCTGCCCGTCTATGTGCAAGGCCTACTCCGCACCTATGCCCTGAATATCCCAACGGATATGCTCCTCGTCGATAGAGTACATCGGGTAGTAAAACCGAAACACATACCTGAATCCATACCCCGGGATTTCCTACTGAGAGCACATTATTATCATATAAAAGAACTGATCCTCCGGACGCATCGCAGCAAAGCTGATCCCCATGAGGATAATCCCTCAATTATG